TGGTCCCTTAAACAAGAATGACAAGATGTTAATGAAAATTAAACCATTAGAAATCACTGCCCAGCACTCATCCTGTGTACTCAGGTTCTGTCCTTTACAGCTTATAGAAAATGGAGCAAGTGAGGAGAGGTGTTCTGCCCAAACTGGAGAGATTCACTTGAGGCTTTCTGATGTTAAACCTTGTAGAACATAGTTTTGACTACTAAAAGGATCTCATTCCCTAATGACAAAGAAAAGGATGTCTGTTAGGATCACTTAGGCATCATTTTGTTTCCTGTGACTGATGATTGACTTAAGTCTGCATCAGACTGAAGAAATGAAAACTTTCGCAAATCAAATGCAAGATAACAGATTCTTAAAAAAACAGTACATGACTTGTATTACACACCTAAAGAAAACTGGGTTTGCTCTAATTGCTTTATGAGTCACAAGAACTTTTGAAAACAAGTTTATCCCCACATTTTGTATATGTTTATATGTAAGAGAGAATACCTTCCATGAGTATACAAGTGACATAAGAGAAAAGAGGGTGTCAGAGGTGGTTATATGTGGTAATAAATTATTTATGGTTTATTAAACCTTGCCTGAAGATTCAGGCAAGACAGCCACAAGCTATAGAGGTTAGTCAGTGGTGATACACACCTTCAATCCCAGAAGCCATACTAGATAGCCATAGAGCCAGGCAGTGGTAGCACACACCTTTAATCCCAGGACTCAGAAGACAGGCAGACAGATCTCTGTTAGTTCAAGGCCACCCTGAGCTACATGAAATTGATCCAGTCCTAAAGAGAAACAACTCATACAAAGGTGAGCTCTCCTAGGATTTGAGAGGTATAAAACAAAAAAGCAAAGGGTCTCACGAAAGATCTATTCTCCAGCCATGCTGAGGACAGGACACATCTTTTTCAGCCTGAGGTAGAGGTAAGAGCTAGTGGACAGCTGTTTTGCTTCTCTGATCTTCAGGTTGAAGCTTAAACCCTAATATCAATCTCTAGGTTTTAATTTTCATGTTACAAGTACCTCCTATCTCTGACTCCAGACAAGATTTATTATCAGAATATAATCAAAATATCACACATTTCCACCTTTTTGTCTGAATAAAAAGGGGAGGTTTTAATTAACATAGTAAAACTATATATAATAAGTATAACAACTATATACAAATAAATACATGCATGAAATATATAACAATATCAAGTTCATATCTACTTGGTAAATCTAGAGAAAATATCTTATTATCTATCTTATCTTGGTGAGTCCAAGGTATTGTACCTAAATTATTTTCTATCCTAACACACACTCCAAACACCCAACCCAGCTGCCAGTCACCTAGAGTCACTCCTTACTTGCCACTCCCCTCACAATCCATTGCTCTTTTCTTCTAGGAGGCTCAGAAGTGTCTCCTACAGAATGCTAGCCCACAGGCCAGGAATCAGATTACCCCCCATGACTGGAGCTGATTGCTGCAACCTCCACCTTCTACTCACCCCCACCAAAACAGTGTCTGGGGCCAATGCAGGGGCTCTGCTCAGGAGACTGTGGGAGGAGAGTAGTGAAAAAAGCAATGGCTTTACAGCTCCAAGAGCTGTGGTTCCCTCCCTCCCTCCTCCACTGCTGCAGAGCCCTCCCAGCGCTCAAGTTTATTTTCCCTAGTTTTGTTTTTTTTCTGTTGACCCCAAACTCTGGTAAAATTAAGGGAAATTTAATTATGTTACTTTGGGTCTGGTCACCCTTAAACCCTCTCTACATTTTTTCTAGAATGTGTTCGCAGTTAGTTAAGCAGGCTTTGGAAGACCTTTTCCTAAACGAATGCTTCATTGCATTCTTTTTGAAAAGGCTTTGCCTCCTCCAAACCCATATGACTATCCTTCTTGTCAAGAATAAACAAGTCCTAACTCTGCAGACTCCTACAGAACTAGGAATCTAGGCTCTAGGGCCTGCAAGCCCTTGCCACACGAGAATCATGTGTCCCGGGTGTCCCTATTCCTATGCACCCATTTAGAGTTCATTGCCCCTCTGGGAAACAGTTATGGCAGCCTTGCTCTATCCCCTGCAAACCTGAATATGCAGAGAAGCAGGGGAGCACCAACTGTCACTTCCTACCTCTACATTTCCTCCACTCAAAAGGGCCAAAATCTTCTCTTCAAGCTGCCTTACCACTGTCCTGTCTTCTCTCTGTCTTCAGGCCTCCAAGGCTCTATGGTCAGGTAGTGGCTGGCCCCGCCCTCTGACTCCAGGCAAGCTTTATTCATTAGAACACAATCAAAATATCACACATTTCCCACCTTTTCTCTAAATAAAAAGCACAGGTTTTAACTAACATAGTAAAACTATATACAGCGAGTACAATAACTATAAACAGAGATATACAGGCAATAATTGTATTAACAATGTCTAGTCCATTAGCATTTGATAAATTCAGAGAAAATACTCCATTATCTATTCTATATTGATGAGTCCAAAGTGTTGTACCTAATTCATATTCTATCCTTGTATTAGCAACCCAAAACTATCTTCTTATGTGTCTGAACCTTATACACTTTATACTTCTTCTGTTAGTGTCTTTTCTGAATTTGGTAACAAGGAAAACTATAACTAAAACTATCTAGTCTTCATCTCCATCAGAGACCTGAGGAAATAATGTTATCTGAGTAAAGAGGAAGTGCAGAGCAAACAACTTCCAAAACTAAGAAGTGAGAGAAACATTTGGATCCTTCTATAAATTAAGGGCTTGACTGCATGAAGTCTTCTACTTGGCACAACATTCCTAGGCTTCCAATGCAGAGCAAGGGCCTTCCCTGATGAGAGAAGCCCTTCCGTGTTTATGCTTCTCTTATTGGTTGTTGAATAAAGCACTGTGGGCCAATAGGGAAGCAAGATAGGTGGCACTAGGAATTGAGGAGGTTTCTGGGAAACAGAAATACTCACGATGCAGGATACAGGAGAAGTAAGAGGTCCATTTTCTCCGGTAAGAGAAGACCACATGGAAATACTCAGACTAGCAGTTATGGGTTAATAATTAAGTCAGAGATAGCCAATAAGAAATCAAGCAAATGGCCAACAGCTTCATACGTAATATAGCATTCTGTGTGTTCATTTGGGACTCACGCAGCTCTGCGACATGCAGTAGGAAAGAATACACGTTACACTTGCATTTCATGGTGCGTAAATCCTTGAAAATTCCTGTCTCATTTTCACCACTAGAATTTCATCTGAAACTTTCTGGGGCTGTTTTTCTCAACAAAAAGTCTACAGTAGACATTTCTCTACACAGAAATCAATAATCAACCTCATTTGAGAGGAAAGGAATGAAACTACTAATGACCTAGAAACAATGGAGAACAGAAACAGAGATAAGAGCAGCAATGCACTTAAAGAAAATATTTTAAAATAATATCAATGAGTGATTTTTAAAAACATAAAATAATGTATTTTAAAATAAAAACGGGCTGGAGAGATGGCTCAGTGGTTACAGCACTGGCTGATCTTACAGAGGACCTGGGTTCAAATCCCAGCACCCACATGGTGGCGCACAACCATCTATAATGAGATCTGATGCTCTCATCTGGCCTGCAGGCATGCATGCAGGCAGAAAACTGAATACACAATATATAAATCTTAAGAAAAATAAAATAAAAACAAACTTAGCTATATTGACTTTGAAAAAGGGAGGTCCTTCCCTAGTAGCAGGAATGTCATTAATAAGAGATAGATTGACCCTGACCATATGCATATGTTGATGGCTGAGCTCTGTAAACTAACACACAAAGTTACAGTCAATGGCCTGACTCTCTGAGCTGATATAACTGTGTCAAGCAGAATTGAACATAACTGTATAGGAGAGTTGCCTAATAGCAAATTCAATATTTATTGGCTCAAGATAATCTTCCAAACTGTACACCCACACAATCTGGTCTGTTATCATTCATATGATATGAATTAAAAAATGCTAGCTCTCCTGAGAATGCTCATCCTCCATGCCTGAGGTCTTAAATGAAAGCATTGAATGATTAGGTCAGCCCTTAACACAATAGTGTTTAATTTTCAAACAGTTGTCACCTGGTGTCATATTGCCCATCTGGCAGAACTGTGCTTTTCTCAAGAAAAAAAATGAAACTTTATGGCTCACCAGGCTCTAAGGTTGGTTGTGACCCTGCAATGCCTGCCTCCTTGAGCAGCTTGTTAGATGCCTTTTCTTTGATATAGGTTTGGGACTACTGGCTGGTTATAAATCATGATTGGCTTCTTTGTAATGGTTTGGAGCCAAATGTGTGGACAATCCTGGTGTACACATATCTATCTTGGCGTCCTAATCTCTAACAGGCCTGGTTAGCATATACTTGTGTTTTGAGTGTCTTAGAGGCAGTCCTCCCTCACCTAAATTCTGTTTTGTATTGGTAAATCCTTTACATCACCAATTCTACTCTTCTACATCACAGCACACTGTTGGAGTGCTACACAACCTCTGCAAAATTGATTATAAATGGATCTTAACACAGAAAGGTAAAATGCAAAGTGCTGAATATCTAGAAGAAACTAGGGAAACTAGCCCTCATCTAGCTTCACAACCTGCTTTCTATGGATGCACCAAAAGCATGTTGAAGTTGACTAGAAAGATGTTTCTACACACAGCTCACTGCACCAAGTGCTCTGAACAGATTCAGCCCACAGAGCAAAGTTATTCTGGGTCCAGGGAGTTACAAGGAAAACACAGAACCTTACAGGACAGGAAATCTGGCTGCAGTTTTCCAACCATATCTGGGTAGGACCCACCACACTGGCTCCCGGACCTCACCATCTGTTCCTCCCCATCCAGGAACAGCAGCTGCTCCCAGTGCTCTGAGCGGATAGAGCCCACAAAGTTATTCAGAGACGTATCCTGGGTCGAGGGAGTTGCACAGACCGCACAGGAACTCAAATGTCTCACACCACAGGGAATCTGGCTGCCGTTTCCCACCCAGATCCCGGAAGGACCCGTGACACGGGCCCCAGCTCCTTACATTCTGCTCCTCCCCAACTGGGGACATCAGCTCTCTGTTCACCATATCGTGGTTTCCCAGGTTGCCCAAGCTCTCGGCTCAGTTCCCTGAAGCAGAGCACACAAAACCGCTGGTGCCAGATCCTCTTCAAAGCTGGTCCTGAAGTCCGCCACAGGAAGGGCCCTGCACCACTTCTCACTGGCAGGTCGCCTGGAGGCCCTGATTGGCTTGTGAGGCCTGAGTGACAAGAGCACCTCCCTTAAGGTTATAGTGTATTTAAAGACACAGCACAATGTTTCCTGGCCATGCATTTCCTCTAACACAGACCTTTCCCAGATCTGCAAAGATATGCATTTCAATATCACTTGCCCCTGGATCCAATAGGTGACCCTGCTTTCTTCCTGCATTCCATAGGCACCTCCCTTTCTTCCTCCTGGACATAATGTGGATTACAAAGCCCAATATACTATGTGGGGTGGAGTGATTGCTGTCACATGAGTGGACAGATGACCAGAATATTAAAAATTAAATACAGCTTTCACAACACAAAAGATATTTGTTCTGTGACCCCATGGTGAGGTCAGGTAAATTGCATGTAATTTTTAACCTGGTAGCCACAGGGACTTCAGACAACCTTGAGGAAAAAGCAGGAACCAGATCACAAACAAGATGACAGGTCCCCCCAGAAGGCTGGGTGATTGTTCCATTGCTTTAGAATTTTATTCCTGAAATTCTTTTCTTTTCATGGTAAACGAATAGCTTAAGTATTTTATTTGTTTGGAAGTAAGCTTGTTAACACTGCTATGCCCAAGTCACTAAGACCCCCCAGAGACCACCAAGGAGACATACTTATGGAACTGCAAATGCAGGGCTTTATTTTTCAATCCTACCAATAGGGACTCTATCCAGCAGTCTCCAGAGGGAGTGGCACCACAGTTCATTACACTAGTTTTAAAGACAAAAATCAAAGGATTACATCAGTAAGTAGGGAGAGGCATGGGTTAGATATTGATTGGTTGACATTTGGGGAACAATTAGGAGAATTGCTCAGAGTTCCTGAGACTTTGCTTCAATTTGTGTGTATTGCTCTGATACAAGTGTGAAGTGAAATATATACTCAAAACCAACTTGCTGGGTCTGCCATCATTCCTCCCAGGCTAAACCCTGGTAAGTGTTCCTGACACCTCCTATCCCCTCAGGTGCTCCAATGTCTGGCCACAACTACTTTGGTGTGCCCCTGGTTGCCTCATCGTGAAGGGACCAGACCCTCACCCCGTACTCAACTTTAGCAGCCATGACAGGCTGCAGAAAAGACCCAGCAAGGCAAACACCTCTGTCTTAGCAACCTGCCTTCCCTGATCACACCCCTCGCTAGGAAGCCAAAAGTGGCAATGAACCAATCAGAAGTCAGATGGCACACTTTGGATGTGCTTCAGGAGCTCTGGATGTGCTTTACAGCCAAAGTGAAGGGAAGAGCATACCAACTGCCCTGGGAGGGCCTATAGGGCACAACAAAGGGTTGACAAATCAGCACAGGACAGGCCATCCACGCCCAGAAGTGTACCAATCCTGAGACTTTTGTGGACCCCCCAGACACTCCCCTTGCTCTGTCCCAATAAATTCCCTGCCCCTAGATCCTTCTTGCTCCATCTTCTGTGTTAGATGAACTGTGGAACTGAGTTAATGCAGTTAACTCATTAAATTACTAAAGACTGTTTGCTTTTGCATTGGAAAGGGTCTCTTGGTGATTTGGAAGTTCAGAATTTGGGCACAACACTGCCACCTTGTACCCCTGATTGCCACAGAGCACCCCAGCTGCCTCATGTCCTGTGTTGTGTGAGTTTGTTGAAGAAAAAGGTCACTACAAAATGAAATCATTAGACCTGGATGGAAGCAGGAAAGTTCAGCCTCTGATGGACTGAACCTCGTGCGGCAGTACAAAGGCATATTTATTGAATGATTCAGAAAGATTTATTTTTTGGCAAACAAGTTTGTCAAACTTAACCTAATCTGTGTGTTTTTCTTCCTTCCTTCCTTCCTTCCTTCCTTCCTTCCTTCCTTCGTTTCTTCCTTTCCTGTTTTTTTTTCTGAGACATAGTTTCTCTGTATTGTTTTGGAGGCTGTTCTGGAACTTGCCCTGTAGACCAGGCTGGTCTCCAACTAACAGAGATCTGCCTGCCTCTGCATCATGCCCCTGCAACTTTAGACCTTATTGTGTTCCATTGTCAGTACCCAATAATCCAACAGCTTCAGGTGTTCCATCTGTGACCAAAGGCCATGCAAATGCTGTAAAGATGCTCCAGAAAAACAACTCTATAAATCAAGGAAAGCAATCACTGATTCCCAGGAAGATTTCTGTTAAGGTTAAAGTTCATTTACAAAACAACTGTTCTGTTCTGATATTTACCCTTGATACAGTGACTCTGCTAGCCTCCTACAAAACTCCCCGCTCCAAGGCTACCCAATGTCCTTCAGGTTGCTTAAGGTTCACTCTCCTGACTGCCTCAGTGCCCCCCCCCCGGCAACCATTGCCTCTACACCACCCAGCTGCATCAGTTTTCCCCCAGGATTCATCAGTGTCATGTCCCCCAAAACCTAACTGTCCCCTCAGGCTGCATGGGTGTCCCCCACTGCCTCAGTTTACCCATGGCTGAGTCAGTGCCCATCAGCTACCCTGATGCTCCATTGGCTATCTCAGTATCTCTCCCAACTGCCTTGGTATCTTCCCTAATTGTTGCATTTTCCCCCATGCTGCCTCAATATGCCCCAGTACCTGCACAGCACCTTAGTGAACCACAGGCTAACTTGGCATTCCTCTCAAGTCCTTCAGTGTCTGGCAGGTTACCTCAGAGTCCCTGAGATTTTCTCAGTGTCCCCCTCCTAGGTGGCTCCATGTTCCCCCAGCTGCCAGTGTTCCACAAAGGATGCCTCAGTCCCACCCCGTCCCACACCCCACCCACACTCTCCTACCTCCAGCTGGCTGTTGCATGAAAAATAAAAGACCCAGTGACTGATACTAGAGTTCAAACTTCAAGCTGAAAATCAGAAAAACAAAGTAGCAAACCACTAGCTCTTACCACTACCTCAGGCTAACTGGGCTGATCATGCTGCCTCTCCTCAGCATGGCTATAGAATCCTGAGACTGAATGTCTCTCTATCCTCAATGTGGCTGGAGAACAAAACCCAAGCTACTGAAGGATCACAAATTAAAATTAATAAAAGTTTAAAAACATGGGCCCTGAAAAGGGAATGTCTAATGCCTGGGAATGCCATGACTGGCACCTGAGCCCTGCTCCCAGAGAAGGGGAGGTGACTATCTGTCACTCCTGCTAACATTCCTTTGCTAATTGCTGGTTGTAAAGGTGCCCAGCTGGTTGTCAAATTCCCCAGCCCATGGGGATAACTGACAGACCCTGTGAGCCCCCCAACCCTGCAACTCCATGCCCTGTCTTATCTAAGTCAAATGTATCTCCCTTAAAATATTTAGTTACTGCCCAACACTGTACTTTGTATGACCTTAAGCAACCATGGAAACTCTAAAATTTGTGACTTTCAGCCTTATGTTCTTTCCTTATAAAAACCCTGCTTAGTTATTGTTCAGGGCTTCTGCCACTTACAAGAGTAGAAGTCCAAGCTATCTTGAATTAAAAGAAACCCTTTGCATTTGCATCGGATGTGTCATGTCCTTGGGGTGGCCTGCCTGGGCATAACACTACCTCGGTATACCACCATTCTGCTTTGATGTTGCTGTCCCAGTTACCTCAAGGTCACAGTGACTTGCCTGCCACAGCTGGGGAAGAGCTGGGTCCAGGGGACTTTGGGGGGGGCAGATACTGTAGGGTGTCAGCATCAAGGTTTCAAGGGACCCACCTGACCAGTCCCCAAAACAAAGCCACTCTCTAATTAGTGGGGCAGTGAGTCCACCCTTGGCTTAGCAGATGGACCCAATCATGAGTCAGCAGATCCTTGAACTCAGGATCAAGAGAGATCCCAACTCAACATTTTTAGACCCCTAGTGACTAGCCCATCACAGAGTGACTTGCCCTTCTGCCCTCTCATGAGAAACTGGAGACCTCAAGATAAACTTAAAAGATAACCCTCCCTGATCCAGGAACTAGCTCACCACATTCCTGCTCAATGTTTAACTGTACAATGCCCAAAGAATGCTTGCTTGAGATAACCTTCCTGTTAAGACATAAGCTATCTTTTAATCCCAGCACTCGGGAGGCAGAGGCAGGTGGATCTCTGTGAGTTCGAGACCAGCCTGGTCTACAGAGAGAGAGTTCCAGGACAGCCTCCAAAGCCACAGAGAAACCCTGTCTCAAAAAACCACAAAAAAAAAAAAAGACATAAGCTATTATTTAACTTCCTCATCCTTTTTGATGTTTGCCTAACTCCCTGATTCGGTTTTTCCCTTTTAAGACACCCTGACTGCAGCTACTAGGGGGTCGAACTCCTCTGCCCCTGCGAGGGTCATGAGCTCGGCCCCAGTGCACTGGTTCCCCAAATAAACCTCGTGTGCTTGCATCAAGAATGGTCTCTCTTGAATTATTGGGGCATCGGCTTATCCCAAAACTTGAGTGAGGGTCTCCCCACTCTGGGGGTCTTTTAATCACACCAGTCATTCACAGACCAACACACTAGCCCAATCACAGCTCCTGTGCTAGCACTAAGGAGGTGTTCAGATCATTAAGAGGTCAGTGGACCTTGCCATTAATGACTAGGAGGAGTACACACAGTGACTGGCAGATAAGTCTGTGAACAGAGGTTGTCCACTCTATGTCAGGACATCATCAGACTGGCCCATTACAGGTCAGAAGGTCCACAGTGACTGACTAGTCAGTCTGCAAATAGTAGGTTATCCACGCCTTTTGTAAGTAGTGCAGCCTAGTCTTGAGTCAGCCTACGAATGACTGTTCAACTCTTGAGAGTATATACAATCCGTAGCAGGACCTCATATGCTCCAAGAGGAAAAAATGCAATATAAAATATGGGAGGAAGAGATCCACTCTTACCACACACAGGAGCTTATATTGGTGGAAGAATGGTATGGTGGGATGAGAAAAGAATGTCTTACCAAAACCTGCACTTTATAGAAAGATTGAGAGGAGTAGAACCCTCTTGTAGACCAGAGAAGTATTGAAAAGTATGTCTTACAGACATCAAACAATTGTTGGGGTTCAAATATTGTTATCCTTAAAGCAGTGTACCCATGTCTAATTACCTTTTAACTTTGTAACCACAAGTAGCTGCCAAGTGACATAAGTTCTGCAAGAACAGGATGTGCCTGGCTCAAGGATTCATTAAGCCTACAAAAATGCAGAACTCTGTTTAGAATGAGGTTATGTAGGGGGTAGTAAATGTGTAGGGGGAAGCATAAAGGGGAATGTGGGGATTTTTATGATGACTATGATGTAACTCTTAGAAGTTAAAAAAAAACAATAATAAAAGTGTTCAAGTAAACCTGGTAGAACAACTCTGTTAAAGTCTAACCACAGCTCAAGCTATTTG